CTGCATAGCAGGATTCAGTGTGGAATGAACCAGCTTTCATGGACACTTTTCAAGGTGGCCTATCCGATGACTTACAGGATGAACTGGCGAGAGTGGACAGGCCACCGACGTTCGATGCCTTGGTTCACTTGTGCCTCCGGATAGACGCCCGGCTGCAGAGACGGAGACCTCGCCCTGCATCTCAGGAGACCAATAGCGTGTTGGTTCCTCAAGAGACTGCAGTTGAATGGGAGGAGCCCATGGAGCTGGGTGCCATCAGACCCCGAGTGTCACTCAACGGAGATGGACAGACGACGTGCTGAGGGGTTGTGTTTTTACTGTGGGGATCCTGGACACCTGGCTGGGAGTTGCCCCAAGAAGAGTAGGAAGGTTGCGCGGCCTGCGGCCTCCCCTCAGCAACAAACCAACGTGTTGGGAAACGGGTGGAGCCGGATCTAAGGGAAACTAGGTCGGGCGCAGGCCAAAGCTGTGGTGGAAGGACGCCATGGCATCTGGTTTTAGCTGGACACAACCTGCAGGTCTGTGCAGCCCAGGTACCCCGCTCACCCACGGTGACGTGCTTCCATGGTGTGTGGAATTTAAGGATGGATGCCCTGTTTAGGAAACCGGAGAACTCTGACCCTGCGGACTCGCTTCCACCCCGGACTGTTCTACCCATCGCATCCTGTGCTGCAGTTCATCCGTGAGCGTACGGTCTCTGACACGGGATGCGCAGTGGGGTGACAAGTGGGTGGAGCAACGAAAGGTGGAAGTAGGGACGGCTTCCCCGTGGACCTTTGAGGGGGATCTTTTGAAGTATCAGGACCGGCTCCATGTTCCTGCAGGGCCTATCCGTAGACTGTTTCTCTCTCAGTGTCATGACACTCCAGCAACAGGACATTGTGGGTTTTTTCGGACATTGAGCCTGGTCTCCATTGGCCACCGGTGTCTTGGACCGTGTCTCATGGAGGCCGTCATCAACCCCTCTCGGCCGCATCCTGAGCGTTGGACCCAGGGGAAGGGCCCTGTGGTGGGGGATAGTGTTATGGCCCGGCAGGAGCCATTGGGGCTGCCACCAGACTCTGACAGCGAGGGGGCTTATGAGTTGGCTTTGGAGGAGGTGGAGGACCCTGGACAAGGTGTCGACTCCGAGCAGGGTGAGGAGAGACTGATTGGCCACCAGGTGGTGGCAGAGCCTTGGATCAGAGGGAGTGTTCAGGGAAACACTTGTGAGTTGTTGTGGGATGCACCTTGTCGAAGGGTTACTCAATGGAAGGAACAACTGAGTACTTACAGGAGATGATTGCGAGCAGCTGTTGCTCATTGGGATCCTCTCCTGAGTATAAAGGGAACTGTTGGTGCCACGCCCTGGTGGCAGAAGTCAACGTTCTCGTTCGTGTTCACAAACCAAGAGAAGCCAACTTGGATATGTGGCTTGATAAAAGAAGCCGGTTTTCAGTGTTGTGAGTTATAGGACTTTCTGCCAGAGCTATTATCTTTGTTTATTTGGGCTTGCAGCCAACAAGAGCTTGGACTGATTAAAACATTTTTTTGTATGTCTGTTTGGCTTTCGTTCCTGAACGGAGAAGGGGGGTCAGAACAGGTATCTATGGTTCTCACACAGGGATCTCCATTACCAGTACCGAGCTCTCCCCTTCACCATGGCCTCAGCCCCTTGCACCTTCACGAAGGTCCTGGTGGCATAGGTGGCTCACCTGAGTTCTGCCCCGGTGAGCTCCAGTGTTACCTCGATGACGTGTTAGTTCAGGCCCAGTCTCTCCCTCAGGCAGTCCTCGACCTCTGACTTACCCTCCAATCCCTGAGATTCTCCGTCAACTTTCCCAAAAGTCATCTCTCTCCTTCCATGAGGATGCTCCACCTGGGGGCGATGATAGACTCGTAGAGGCGGTGGTTCACCTTTCTCCAGACCAACTGGTCAGCTTCAAAAGCTAGCAAAAAGGGTGCGTGGAAGTTGGTCAGTTTCCATCCTGACCTTGTCCCAGTTACTTGGCAAGATGGTGTCGTGGGCCTGCCTCCACTCTTGAACTTTCCGGTGGGCCCTCATCCCGTTCCAGCGCAGACAAATGAGCAACTCCCTGTGCCCCGTCCTTCTACCAGCAGATGTGCGTGTGGTTGTCCCTCAAGTGGTGGCTGTCCCCCGCCCTGAACCGGGGCTGTGCGTTTTGGGAACCGGACCGAGTGACTATAACTACAGATGCAAGTTTGTTTGATTGGGGTGGTGGTGTCGTTGGACTGTCTCGGACCTGCGCCACGACATCAATTGGCTGGCGCTGAAGGCGGCTCGCCTGGCCCTCCGACACTTCAAAAACTCGATCATGGGGCATCACATACTTCTCCTGACAGACAAAGTCACCACAAAAGCCCACATAAACAGTCGGGGGGGGGTACTCATTCCCAGAATCTCTGGCTAGAGGCTCTGAGGTTTGGCTCTTGGGCAGAGAGACACTTCAGAGCACATCTTGGGTACAGCCAACCATCAGCCAACTGGTTGAGTCACGCAACAATTGACAACGGTGAATGGCAACTTCAACCCAAATTATTCCAGAATATTTGCCTGCAGTTTGGAACTCCACTGGTGGACTTGTTTGCCAACCCGACGAACATTCAACTGCTGAGATTCTTTTCCCACTTCCAGACCCGAACTGTGGAAGGCACGCACGCTCTCAAAAGCAGATGGCCACCAGGCCTTCTTTACACCTTTCCCCCCTCTCCCACTAATCCTGGGGACCCTGAGGAAGGTAGTGGTAGAGGGGGCTCACATCATCATGCTGGCCCCATATTGGCCCAGGCGGCCTTGGTTTGCAGACCTTGTCTAGTGTCCATATCTCCACCGTGGAGGATCCCTCAGGAGGATGTCTCCTTGTGCCAGGGGGTCCTAATCACCCGGAGCCCCAGTGCTCCACTTGACCGCCTGGCACTTAAGCAGCGCCTCCTGAGAAATTCTAACCTATCCTCTCGGGTCATCACAACCATAGAGGCTTCAAGACAGCCATTGACCACGTGAATTTACAATTCCACATGGTCGGTATTCATTAAATGGTGCGAACGCCTCAATATCTGTCCAACTGAGGCTTTGGTGACTCAGATACTCGATTTCCTTCAGAAAGGTCTCAACCAGTGCCTTTTGCATAATACTCTGCGCCGCCAAGTGGCGGCCCTATTTTCAGTGCTCAGGGAGAAAGGTCATTCCACTTTTTCTCACCTCCCCTGATAAAGTGGTTTTTAAAGGGGGCAGCTAAACTCCGCTCTCCCATGGTGGCCTTGACAGGGACCCCCTTTGAACCATTGTGGATGGTTCATCTCAGGTTCTTATCTCTAAAGGTGGCGTTTCTGGTCGCCATTACGTTGTCCAGGTGCATTTCATCAGGATAGGGTGGTCCTTCGCCTGGACCCAACCTTTCTTCCAAAGGTCAATTCCCCCTTTCACAGGGCGCAAGAGATCGTGTTACCTAATTTTTGCCCTTCCCCCTCTCATGAGAGGAAGCGTCTATGGCATCACCTTGATGTCCGCCGTGTCCTGCGCATCTTATCTCAGCCGTATTTTGGAAGTACGCAGATCTGAGGCCCTCTTCATTTCATTTTAGCCAGGTTCCTTGGGGACCCGCGTATCTTCCACCATAATTGGCAGGTGGTTAAGACAGGCCACTGTTGCTGCCTATGAGGAACCTGGTCAGGCTCCTCCCTTGGGGATCATGGCTCACTCCACGCGGAGCACCGCTACCACGGTGGCACGGACCACCAGGGTCCCATTCGAGGACATTTGCCGGGCGGCCACCTAGTCATCCCCAACTCCTTTTATCCGGCACTATCGGCTGGATGTGTTCACTTCTGCAGAGGCATCCTTTGGATGCAGGGTTCTACAGCAGGTAGCAACCGCCCCTCCTCCTGGATCTTAGGTTCCCTCCCTGGGACTAAACTTGGGTACGTCTCATGTGTAACCTCTCCCTCCTTTCTACTGGAAATAGAACGTTGGTCTTTTCAGTAGAAAAGAGGGAAGGGTTACAACTTGCCCTAGTTAGCTATAGGGTCAGCCAGGTGGAGGTCTGGGAGGTCCTATGGTCTGCTTGTGTTTTTGCAGGTGCTGTCCTTCGATCTCAAGAAACTGGGAGCCAATAGGGAATGGTGGAATATTAAAGAAAATTCCCTCAGTCTATGAATCAACCAGGCTTTGACTATACCCATGTGTAACTCCTCCCTCCCTTCTACTGAAAAGACACATTCAGGTAAGGGCCAACGTTCTTTTTCTTCATTTCTAGTATCTATCTCTTCTCACTTATGATTATAGCCATGTTGCTTGTATCTTTCAATTTATATTGTTTTATTTGTTCACTAGTACTATTTGATAGCTTATTAGTAACCTTCACTATCACTAAGTGTTGTATCTTTTTATTTTTGATTATTGTATTTTATTCTCCTTATGTATACTGAGAGCATATGCACCAAAGAAAAATTCTTTGTGTGTCCAGTCACACTTGGCCAATAAAGAATTCTATTCTATTCTATCAGGAATGTCAAACTCAATTTCATTGAGGGCTGCATCAGCATTATGGTTGCCCTCAAAGATCGAATAGCATGTAGGACTATGACGACATACAGGGGCCAGGTGGGTGTATCTAGGTAGGTGTGGTTGAGTGGTCACAGCCAGGTCATTGTGCATGAATGGGTATGGCTGGCCTGATGACATTCACTGGACACTGCTGATACAGGATGGCTGGTTCGGGATGGAACAAGTCACACCGACTAACTCATTCATTTAACAACTATGGCAAGAAAGCTCATAAAATGGGGCAAATTTACTTAACAAATGTCTCACTTAGCAACAGAAATTTTTGGCTCAATTGTGTTGTAAGTTGAGAATTATCTGTACAAATCTTAGTAAGAAATCCTGGCTAATTAAAATATGGTTGAAACAAAGTAAAACGTAAACTGTTTTGACATAGAACTTCAAAATATTTTGTTGATTGTTCATCACATAATGCATTTAGTCTTTTGTCCCCTAGTTCTCGTAGCACTGATGGATCGACTGGGAGATGCCAAAGACCAGGTTCGAGAACAGGCGCAGAATCTCATTTTGAAGTTAATGGACCAAGTAGCTCCACCAATGGTAGGAATTCTATAGAGAGGATTTTTCTATTAAATGTGAATTGTTCTGTTCTTTTGAATTAAGCAGCACAATCTCAACCAGCAATTTAAGAAGCCAGGTATAATGTGAGGAATTTACTGTTGTTGTTTTTTCCTAGTTGAAGATATTTTGCCTCACTTCTCAGTTGGAAGCATGGGAAACAAATAGAATTTTTCCAACAGAGCTTCATAGGAAGAGGATCAAATAAATCTCAGATCCTGCTATTACCATTCATCCAAAAGGGTCAGCATATTGCCCCCAACAATCTGGGTCCTCATTTTATCGAACTCGGAAGGATGGAAGGTTGAGTCAACCTTGAGCCTGGTGAGATCCCAACTACCAAACTGCTGGCAACTGGTGATCAGCAGAAGTAGCTGGCTGCAGTACTGCATTCTAATCACCATAGCGGTTCTTATGGGAGCAATAGTAACGGGCATATATCTATTATAGTTGTCTTCTTAGCAGAAGACCATGCCTACTTACTTGGTATACGCATATATCAGTGACATGCAGTCAGGTGAGGCAAGTGAGGCACAGCCTCACCTCTCATCATGAAAAGAAAAAAAAACATAAAAGGAAAAAATAAATTAAATGCTTGTATTTATCTAGTGATCTGTACCATAAAGTTATTTTCCATTTAACTTCACCAGTTTTACATTATTTGGTATCAAAATTGCAGAATTTTCACATTTACCATTCAACCAGTCAGGTGAGAGCTGAGGTGAAGCTGAGCTAGCTGTTGCCTCACCTTGGATGACTAAAAGCCTTAAAAGGCTCTAAAAGCGCCTCTACTATGAGGCAGGAGAACTGTGTGCCTCATCTAGTCTGACGTTTTATGATCACTCAGCACGAGCAGAGCTTTATAATCACTCAGCATGAGCAGAGTTAAGCAGAGGCTTAAAAGCCTAAAAAGTCAGACTAGGTGACGAATGCAGTTCTCCTGCCTCATAGTAGAGGGCGCTCTTTCTTCCTGTGACTCAGTGGCAGCAGAGTAAGTGACAGCCGTTCCATAGAGGCGTGGCCATGCCCCCATACTGGTACGGTCCCCTGCCCTGCAGCCCATTTGCAAGGCGCTTCTCAAAGAGAAGGAAGCGAGGGCGGGGCTTCTTCAGAGGACCCGAGGCAAGAGCAGAGTTGAAGTCCTCTCTGAAGCAGCTGGAAAAGATACGTGCGGGTCGGAGGGAGGGGGAGGAATTCAAACTTCATCCTCCTAGTGCTGTGTGGGGCTTTGGGCAAAGGCTGGAGGGAAGGACCCTGGCTCGTTTGTGTTCTCCCTCCCCAAGTGTAGATTGCAGGCAGAGCCACAGTTGCCTTTTCAAACCTGGAAACTGGGCTGGATCCTTCCAGGACTGGGGGAAAGTGTGTGTGCTACAGCATGGCTCTTTGCCTGGCTTCCTGCTCCTGTGGTCTCCTCAGTACTCCCTGGTGTTCTCCCTCCCCAAGTGTAGTGACTTCCTCCACAGCCCCCCATTTATTTCTCAATTACAGGCCTCTCTCATCGTTTTAAGTGGGAGAACTTGCACAATTGGTGGCTGTCTAAATACTTTTTTTGCCCCACTGTATGTATGTTTGTATACGTGTATATACATATGCAAACATAAACACATGTACAGAAGGCTATTATTTTAAGAACTGTGATTACTTAAGTGACATAAACTGATATATATACATAGAGAGAAACTAATTACTAGAATTGAATACCTGTATAACTGATACAATTGAGATACATCTATTTGTATAAGATAACAGTGTGATATATAACTATGATATATAATAATTAAGGATCAAAAACAGAATAGAATAATACATAGGAATGTTTAGATACTGAAATGTGATATTAAGGAACGTTAATTATTGTTAAATATTGAGATATAATTATTGATACCATTGATATTGCTGATAAAGTAGAAGTAAAGTAGAATTTATATGCAATTGTGGGCAAGGATAAATAGGGGGATAAGAATGGCAACTTCAGTAAAGTTAGTGAAAAAAACTACACCCAATATGACTTCGGCAACACCTCCCTCCTCAAATCAAAGATCAATTGAGAGGGCATTGGAGCTGGAGAAAGGCAGAACAATGGCAGAACAACGGGACCAGCACCAACAATGCAGAGTATACAGTTGATGCTCCAGATGATACAAGAGACATTGATGAAAAGCCAAGAAGTGATGGCTACAAATCATGAAGAGACAAGGAGGAATCATGAAGAAATGAAAAATGAAACGGGAGAATTGAAAGGAAATATCAACAACGTGGATGACATAATTGAAAGGATACAAATGCCTTAGCAATCAACGAACAGAAAATTCAGAACATCAAAACAAAAATAGAACAAACAGATCAGAAGATGCAAAAAATGGAGCTGGAATATAGACAAGTTAATAAAGAATTAGAGTTATCAATAATCTGACTTGAAAATGAAAGAGCTTCATTCTATCTAAAATTCCAAAACATACTGGAAGAGAAGGAGGGAGACCTGAAAGGAAAAATGATCGAAATCTTCACTGAAATCCTACATAGAAAAGAACAAGAGTTGAGAGGGGACATCGATGAAGCTTACCATGTGCATGCTAATTATGCCAGAAGACATAGGCTCCCGAGAGAAGTGCATGTAAGATTTGCCAAAAAAAAAAACCCAACTAGAGATGAAGTGTACAAAAAAACCAGAGAAGGGACGATTACACTCCAGGAAAAAGAGTTGATCACCCTTAAACAGATTCCATGGAGAATTCATGAACAACGTAGACAATACGATTTTTTAACAAATCAGTTAAATAAAAACAGGATAATATAGAGATGGTTGGTACCAGAAGGGGTACTGGTAGCTTGGCAAGGAAAAAGACATAAGATAGAGAATATAAAAGAAGCGCAGGAATTCTATGAAAAATACTCCACAGGGGAAGAAGAACAAGGAAGTAAAGAGGACCTAGAAAGTAGAAGACAAGAGGAAGAAACATCAGAAGACAAGGAAAGAAACAGGAAAGAAGAACAGAGGCAAGAAAGAGAGCAGAAAAGGAAGGTGCGAGAGGGAAAAATCAGATACAAACCAGAAGCAACAAAAAACATCCCATCTAAAGATGGACCAGGTAATAACAATTATTTCGATAAACTTGAATGGACTGAACGCACCAAAAAAAAGAGTGCAGATGTTTAATAAACTTAAGAAATTGAAGATAGATATAACCTGTATACAGGAAGTGCATATTAAAAAGGAACATAGGAACTTACTGGAAAACAAAAAACTAGGGAAATTATATACAGCATTGGCAGATAAAAAAAAAGAGGGATAGCAACCTATATAAAAAAAAATTAAACTCAAAGATGTCTACTCTGATGAAGAAGGCAGGATGCTAATGATTGAATTAGGGACAACAGAAAAACCGATATTATTAATAGTAATATATATGCACCAAAC